ATCTAATAATAATTATTAATAAATAATTTTTAAAAGAAAAAAAAAACCCTAGGACGGGACGACCCGTCCCACGTCCCGTCTCGTGCCCCGTCTCATCCTGAATTTTTTTTTTTTACCGTCTTGTCTCGAACTCATTGAGAACAGGACGCGACGACCTGGACAGGACAAATTGAACACCCTAACTTGTTTCTCTAATCAGCTCCTTTCATCAACTTTGGACCGGCTTCATGTTCATACATTTAGTTTCCCCCTCCCTTCTATCTCTGGCGTATGGTACCAGGGTTTTTTCCAACACCCCAAAGGGTATGGATGTCCTGAGACACTGGGTCTGCCCTATGCCTTATAGCAGCGTTACTTCATGGAAGCAGGTCTGCGAGTTTTTTCGCAGGATGCAGTTCCAACTTCCAAGGGTATTAGAGCTTTCAGAGTTATTGTGTATGGAGAACGAATGGTTGGTGCAAGCAGCAACCTGTACTTTGGGCACGCTCACATCTGTTGGCCAGATTTGGGCATAGTACCAAATCCTTGGCCTCTTGCTTTCAACGTTGGGTTTCTATGATTTTCCATTCTGGCGTTTTACCTGTTCTTGTTTTATGCTTGGATCTTCTAGTTTGTTAACTTTTTGTTCGATGTGTGTTTCTTCATTTGTACTTGTTTTCTGTTGTTGGGCTTCACAGTTGCTTACTTTTGGATGATGAAGTTGTTTAGGTATCGTTTTATCTAGTTTTTAATAAAATTGTCTCTTATTACAAAAAAAAAAAGGTGGCATTGCTACAACTATACATTAATTTATGTTTAGTAATGAACATAAGTACATAACATTCCACACATTGATCCAAGCAATTTCTTCACCAGGAAAAGAAAAGGAAAAATTCGCCAGGAATAAAGCGACAAACGGCAGGGTAGCCGTTTAATAGCATTTGTCGATAAATAAAGGCACTAACGTCCCTAATCACAATCTCATATAAGCACATCCACCTCGTGGCAACAGGCACGCAACATAATCTCGGAAACGCTTCAAATGTCGACAACGGAGGAGGTTACACATCCTACGGTAATAGCAGCCCCAAGCCAGAGACAGAAGTGATGACTGCCCTGTATGGAGGAATCCACACCTCGTTCAGATATAGTCAAATCTCAAGCATTTGCAAACTTGAAAAGGATTTGGGAACTCATGAGCTGTGGAAATGCAGTTAGACCCCCTCAGGACGAATTTTCACCTTCACCAAAAGAGCTCTAGTTTATGAAATTAAGATCTTCCAAACGAAAACCATGCTACGTATTTGCATATCAAATAAGCTTACAATCACAAATCACTCTCTCTTGCACAGATTAGCGGGCACATGGACACGGTCGATCAGTGCTACCATGATTTGTGAGTAAAGGACCTTGCGTGCAAATATTAGGGAAAAGTGCTAGTAATGTCAAAGGCTAAGATTTTGGGTTTTGAAAACGAATGATTGAAGGTGTAACCTAGCATTGGAGGCCGCAGCAAGAGATTCTTCGTCTTGTTTTTCCTTGGCCACAGCTAGCGCAGTAATATAAGCTTTTCTTGCTTCTTCCATCTTCTGCATCTCCATCTCGTCCAAATCATCCTGTTCAAGCAGAGATGTTTACTTTTAAAGTCAGCATGAAAGATGGCCAAAAAAATAGTCAACATGTAAGACTATACATTTCTTCTGCTTTAAGACCAGGCTGTTCAGTAAAATAAACGAGATTGAGGGACTCATGGGTCACGATTTCAGGAAGTTGACCTAGATCATACAGTTCAGTGTTGGAAACTTCGCCAAACACAGAAAGCATGCAAAATGAAGCTGCACATCATGGTTGTCAAAATATTCATGAACTCACAATACTAGGCACGTGACTGAATTCATATGGCTTGAAGTCATAGTCATCAGTGTATTCAGCAGCATCATATTTAGTCAAGCCTTCAAGTAGCAACATGAATGATGAAATATCCCCTTGCATGGAATCTATCTCTTCTCGAAGCATCTCCACTTTCTTGTTGGATGTCGTTGCTTCCCACTGTGTCTTTTCAAGAACAGCTTGCTTGTCCGCGAGTTTTATCTGTGAAAAAAGAGGGACAGGTTAAAATTTATCCTCCAAGAGGGATACCTTTTTTTGGCCTTTATTGTATTCACGATATGCCAAAACAGAAGTTTTAAGCATTACAAAAAATGTTTTGATCTTGAATATTGACGGATCCTGATGAGGATAGAGTTCTCTGCACACCAAAATGAGCCTTTGCTAATAAATCCAGTGTGGCACAATCTAAGACAACAGCCAACATTTCGAGAACATCGTTATCCTTGAGTAGAACCAGAACAAACAAAATCATGTTGGTGCTGACTTTGCACCTATGAAGCCTTCATAGGTGCCCATGCATAGAGCAGCCCATATCCATCACAACTCTACAATTTAACCTTCAACACCTAAGGCAATCATGGCTTTCATTTTCCAATGACATGCAGAGGCATGCGTCAAGTACAAGTTTGAGGCGACTAATCCACCTCACAATGAATAAACTCAGCAATTTATTATGTCAAATTAGAGATGGAACAACAGAAGTAGTAGAATGGCACCTTAGCGTCAGAAAGTTGATGCTGAGTAGACTTGAGTAAAGAGTCCTTCTCTGAAGACTGGCGCATCAGTTCATCAATTTTTGTCTTAAGATCAGTCAACTGGATTCTTGAGTTGTCCGCTGACTTTAGATGTTCATCTTTCTCCAGTAATTTCCTCTGCAGATCCTCCACCTGCTCCTTCAACATTACTAATTCTTCTCTTTCCTTTTCAGATGTCAAAGCTCTTGAAGAAAATGTTGGTAAGCTGTCTGTGTCAAGGTTATTACTATCATTTTTGCTCTGTTCTTTTTCTCCATGGTCTTTTTTCTTTCTGGCAGGAATAGATTGACTGGTGTTCCTACCTTTTGAATCTGCCGTCTATCGTGGGACAAAAAACATCAGCTATGATGATCATGGCCAATGAATATCAGCAGAGACGCTGCATTCAAAACAAACTAAACAGACTCACAAGAAATTGTAACTTGAAAAAGAAGAGCTTCAGATGACCACATGAGCAATAGAAAGTAGTAAAACCAATGAAATGATGACAATGAAAACAACAATGTTCGAACAAGAATAGATTAATAATACAGCTCTTTGTAAAATTAAGCTTCAGCCATTGAAAATGAGAATAAAACAGAGTGATAGACCTCAATACAAACAGTGTGCAGTTCAGCCTGGCTAATCTCTGGCTTGCCCAGCATCCACTGAGAACTGTGTTCTTTTGATTTCAATAATAAAATATTTCACCACCAGTCATACTGATAGGCCTCATTAATCTCATCTAAACACCATAACTAAGGGCTTTCCAATCTAAAAGCTTGAACTGAAGTGATTTAAACAAAGGTAAATGAGAAATAAAAAAAATAACAGGTTAGAAAAAAGACACCCATTTTAAAAGCTTATACAATCAAAAGGCTGCGTCTCAATTGTAGAATCCATGTCGAATGCTCACAGACAACAAGGGTTACTGCATGTAAATCAATATTGACAACGCAAAATGTACAGAAGAATTAAATCATTCAACGAAGGATTAGAGGAAGGAAATTGCTAAATCAAGTGAGATGGATGTATACTCCATGTCAACCAAATTAACTCCAGGAAACCGCTAGATAAATGAAGATATCAACTGAAATGATAAGAAAGGAAAGAGAAAAAAAACTTATAAAGAACAACTAATCCCACATACCATTCAAGACAAGAAAAATGATCTTTGCCCAAGATGTGCTTTAAATAAAGCTATATCACATCAGAACCAATATAGAAAAGAGTTTCTCAAGGGTATGTCTGGCAGTGAGGGAGGAAGGGAAGCGGAAAGAAGGGTCGGGAAGTGATGGTCAAACTGTAATTTCCCTTCCCCCTGTTCAGGAAAAGTTCTCCTCTAGAATTCTCCAAATTAGTAGACCTTAAAATTTTAAAGAAAAGAGGATTTTGGATGTGTTAAAAAATCCTAGTCTTGTTGGGTAAACTGAATATTAGGATTAAATACTGTATATTTTGCTTTGTGCATTAATAAAGGTATTTTTTTGCCTCTGTGATGCCAAACAGACCCTCCTTATAACAAATTCCCAGACAAGGGAAAGGTTTTGATGAACAATTCAATTTCCCTCCATTATACCCATTCAATCATACCCCAAGAGTTAATACCACAAAATATGAAATTCTGACTAATAATGCGCATATAGCATGCATTTAGAAAGTGATCAGAAGCTCAGAAACTCAAATCATGAGCTAAACAAATGAGCATAAGAAGTCTTGCAGTCTTACTCTTTTAGATAACGTTTCTCTTGAAGGTGTCTTGGTGTAGACCATAGAACCACGGCGGGTGAATGAACTGCTTGCTTTACGATCCTAATCATGCTTAAACAATAGGAATCAGAAAATTGACAAAGAAACTATTTGAAGTTCCAAACAATAGGAATCAGAAAATTGACAAAGAAAATATTTGAAGTTCCACATTAGGACACGCTTGACAAAAGAAAAGAAAAAACACGAAGAGAGATGGAAAAGGAAAAATAATTAAAGATCGAATCTACTGCAATTTCATCGTTTGCAGTTCAAATTACCATCTTTACAGCACAAAGATCACAAAACAAAGTTTAACGGTCCAAGTTATAATATTTCCTTCCAGTTCCTTCATTTTTTACTCTCAGGAATCAGTTTCCCAACCAAGAAATTCATTTAACAACCGGGAACAGCCAACTCGCGTAAATCATCCTAGAGCTGAATTTATCCATCTCACATAAAAACTCAACATCGAAATACCCTCCAATGCTCCCATCAACCAATAATGAGCAACTTTTGATTCTATTATACAAAGAAATTATAAAAGGATAAGAGAAATTACGATGAGGGACTGAACGAGCGGAACAATCTCGACGAGGTCGTTGAAAAGGACGCGATCCAAGCTCCCATTAGCTCCGGAGGCAGTGGAGGAGTTAGCAAGCGAGAACTGAGCTTGACGTTGAGTGAAGGACGAATTGTCGTCCGCCGAAAGCCAAGAATTTGGATCGCCGAAATTGGAATTCTCTTCCAAGTCCATGAAATGCTGCCCCTCGTACATTTCTTCCTTATCCTGATTTCTCAAACAGAGGATCCAGATGAACAGGCGGAGATTGGGTTGAGAAGAACACGGACAGAGAGAGGGTGAGACTTGAGAGATGAAGTAAAAGCTCAGCCAGCAGAGTCTGAGAGACCGTTTGAAAATGGTTCGCTTTCGTTTCCAGAAATCCTGGAATGACAACATTGCCCCTGGATCTTTCTTACCAGTACTTTGCCAGCGCTTACCAACACGGTTCTACCGGCTAGAAATTTTGAATGAGAAAACGGGAAACGAAAAATCCTCGTTACTGTATCCGTCTTTAATATAAGTCTTTAATATAAAATTCTATTTGATTTTTATTTTGACTTTAAATATAAGACTTTAATCACTTTATCTCTTATATTTATATATTTTTTCAAAATAGCCCTTCTGACAATGATAGTTTTAGTCAATACACTTGATTAGTAAGGATATTTTAGGAAAGACAACATCTATTTAAGACAAATAACTAACTCAACTTACTTCTTTAATCTCTTCAAATTAGTCAATGGACTCTTATAATTAAAACTAGAGGTAGTATAAATTAGAGTAAAATATTCTAACTACTCATCTGTTTTGTCTTAATTACAAGGATCTCTTTTTTATTTTAATAATATAGATTTTTAGTCTCAACTATTATCACTGTTAAAGAATAATCTAAAAAGATTCTTAGGTTAATATAATATCTGATCCTTCAAATTTGCTCTCATTTTAGTTTTGACCTCTTAAATTTTAAATTATAGGTTTTGGTCCTTAAAGGGATAAAATGGTCTAAATTTTTATTGGATTATAGGAACTAATGTTATACATAAAAAAAAGGGAAAATTGCAAAAAAAGACCTTGGAATTGTAAAAACGCAGATAGGGACCCTTGACAACTTCACTTTAGGTTTTGACAAGAATAATATGCCCTGAAGTTGTCAAAACCCAAAGTGAAGTTGTCAAGGGTCCCTATCTGCGTTTTTGCAATTCCAAGGTCTTTTTTTGCAATTTCCCCTAAAAAAAATTTGGGAGACCAAAACTTATGGTTTGAAATTTAAACGATTAAAACCAAAATGAAGATAAACTTATATGACCAAAGTTTATATTACCCCAAGATTCTTTGAGTATATTTTTCAATTAAAAAACATATTAAAATAAATCTTGTTTACTATTTTATTTTCATTATATTGAATTTCTAATTTATCTTTAACTATTAATATTTATTGATGATCTATTTAATATTTTTGCTAAATTTATTAAATCAAGACGTAACTTTATAATTTAATTGAAATACATATATATATAATAACAAAATATTTTCAGATAATATATATTTAAAAAATTATATTACAAGTAAGTTTTAATAAATAAATTATAAGAAAAAAGTAAAAAAAAAATGACTGTTAAATTTTAAAATTTTAAATCAGCATTAATTACTACTCTTTAAAGAAAATTATTATATTTAAAAAGTAAATAACAACATATTTTTTATAATAATTTCTTATTTAAAATTTTAAAATTTAATAGTCATTTTTTATAGATTTTTTCTAAAAGATATTAAACATTTAAATTTATTATAAAATAAAAATTTATATTTATAAAATTAATTAAATTTATAATATGGTAGTCGATTTAATTGTGTAACAAAAAAATATTGAAACATGTATTAAAATTATTTTTTAATTTCAAATAAAGATATATTATATGTGATTAAATAATAATTATTAAGTAATATTTACTTTACGGAGGGAGATTTTGATTAAAATAATATGTCAATTTTGTAATTTAACGGTTAACTAACGATTGAGCGGACGGAAGTTAAATCTCAAAACTAAAAAAAAAAATTTGTATAATATATATTTTGCTTTTAAAAGAGGTTCATGCCTTCATATTAGGGCTGCACATGGACTAGACTGGACTCTTGCCCAATGCCCAGCCTGAAGAATGAACGGGCTGAAAAATACAGCCCGTTGCCCAGCCCTACCCATGAAAAAGCCCTATTAAGTTCGGGTTAGGCAAATGCGGGCTGGGCAGGACAGGTTTTCATGCCCAACGAGTCAATATACTACATTAATTAACTAATTATTTATATCTCTTTAAATAATCTAATGTAACTTTATATTAAAATGGCAATTTGGCCTTAATTTTGTTATTAATAATTAATATACTATGAAACTATTTTTTGTAGTAGCTAGGAGAAGTGAACTATGACAAAAAAAAATATTGTTTGTATATTTTATTAAACTTAATTGTTTTTCTAGTTTCTAACTCTTAAAATCATTCAAAAATAAATAAGTATGATAAATACTGAATATTAATGTAACAATATATTTGATTTAAGAAATAAATATGATGCAAATAAAATATATGTAAATAAAATTATATATATTATTGCGGGCAGGGCCAAATGGGCAGGGCAGCATACCGTGCCCAATGCCCAGCCCTGCCTAACAATTTGCCTAGCCCGAACATGCTCAGTAGTTCTTTTGGGTCATTTTTTTAGGGCGGGCTGGACTTTTTTTTACGGGCTTGGACGGACATTGTAGGCAATTGGGCTTCATGAACACTCCTACTTCATATAGGTTTTCAAAATAAAAAAGAGATATCTGTAATTTAAATTAAATAGAGGATGTTGATGTATTTTATTCTATAAATTATAACCGTTATTTCGTAAAGATGGTAAAAATTAAAGGCATTTATAACAAGAGATACTTCATGCTGAAAAAAATATAAGATACCCTTCTTATACACAAGTACTAAGTAACAAATTTACAAACATTAAAAAATTTAATTAAATAAGTTATTTATAAAAAAATGTTTTGATTTTCTCACAACACTTTTTGAATAATTTGCATTAGATACTACTACTTCAGAGAAAGCTTTTCTTTCTGTTTCATTACGTGCAATCAAGAAAAATATTTTTAAAATTATAATTATAAATTTAAAAAATAAAGAGATTAAGGTCTCATTAACAACAAAGCAAATCTTTTTGTTAGTTTTTATATTTAGAATTGGAGAGTAGTTAGAAGGTAAATTACTGGAGAAATTGTATAGATATATTCTAGTAAAAGTGCTCGCTATCTAAATGGATAAGTTATTGATTCTAGTAAAGGACCAGAATAGTTTTCATAAGAATGTTTTATAAATGGATACAGTTTAAAAATTACTACTTTTAATCTTAAATACTCATCCGGTCCTTAATATATGATCCAATTCTTGAGTTAGTTTTGGTCCTAAATATAAGATCCATTTCTCATATTTATCAATTTTTTCTAAATTACCCTTATGGATACTCCATCAACCATAATCAAATAAAAGAGGGAGATGAGGTATTAAGAAAGATGATTATATTATTTTAGGAAAAATGTGTCATTTTTCTTATAATTAACTAACGTACCTAACTTTTTTAATTTAATCAAATTAGTTAAATAGGTCTTATATTAAGAACCGGAGGAGTATAAGATATAATTTGTTGTTTAATGATGACCGGAGGCAGTACTTAAATGCTTATACAATTACTGTTCTTAAGAACTTGAAATCGTCCACTTAAAAAAGAAATAAAAACTGTCCACTCGTCTTACTATATTTACAACTTTTTAGAAAGAAAGTATTTTGCAACTGCTTTTTTTTTCCTTGAGATAGAATATAGCTGAAAATTTAAAGCCAAACTTATGTGTTTTCCTGGCCAAAAAAAAATGTGTTTGTGGAATTCAAAACTTGTAAAATGAACAAATTGTAAATTTAAGAAAATAGGAGTGAAATTTACAAAAACCTACAAATTAATTTTATAACTTACGATTTTGAAAATAGGAAAGAAGGGGTTCAAGTGCAATTTACCTCTTATCAATTATCACGCTGTAAATATGAAAAATAGGTAACAAAATCACAGAAAGCTTTAAAAATGTGTCCATTCACTGTAAAATTGAGAGGGGAATTAGTGACAAAATTTCTGTCTGATACATCGCAAATTCAAGAAAATAAAGTCTACCAAATTCTTTTGTTATGCAACCAAAAGAGGTTAAATCTAATAAAAAGAGTTGGCCTCTTACTAGAATCCAACTTTGACCCTTTATCAAGAGACATTTACTACCTAGTAATAATTTGAATAGAGATATCTATAATAAGAAAACACCCATGCTTATTTGAAATTAAAAAAAAAAAAATTTGTTAGGCACGTCTCCTGCCTCCTATCAGATATTATCCAGGAAAAATCTCAAAAAAATATCACTTAAATTTCAAAATCTCAAATCAAGAATTACTATCATTTGTTTTTCAAGTATAGTAAATTGCTATTAAAGTGTAACAAATAGGATTGATTTGGAATCCTGAAATTCAATAAGTTTTTTTTTTGTTGGAATTTTCTCTATTATTCTCCTCTTCATTTTAAGGGGTGTTTGGAAATCAGAAGAAGCAATTTTAAAAAAAATATTTTCATGTAAATCGAGATAAAACTCTTCATATATATATACACACATACATACTTATTTCAAACTTTGTAAAATGACTTTTAAAAAACTAATCAAACATCCCCTGAATATTTTTGTCGTTTGATTGTGACTTCATTAATTGATTCCTCCATCTCCATTTATCTTATTCATGATTTTATTAAGAGATAACTAACGTGAGATTTTAAAAAAAATTAATTATTAAAAATTTTTAATGACAAGTGAGCAATAACCAACATGTTATCATTTTCTATATTCAAACTTATCATTATAAACTACTTAATTGTTGTTATTATGAGACTTCTTTTTTTATATATTTTTTATTGAGACTTCATAATCGAACCAAACAAAACTTAATTAATGTGCTATCATTGCTCCTGCAGGGTTGATTTTGCTATATATATATATATATATATATATATTCAAATTTTAACAGTCTAGACATTTTTATTTATTATTTTATTAAAAATCAATAAAATGTCATCGTGGGAGTTGTTTGTCACAATTAATACTCCTCCGATCCGTAATATATGACTCAATTTTTGAGTTAGTTTTAGTTCTAAATATAAGACCTATTTCTCATATTTATTAATTTTCTCTAAATTATCTCTATGGATACTCCCTCAAGCATAATCAAGTAGAAGAGGGAGATGGAATATTAAAAAAGAT